GGAGTCAAAATGATAAAGCTTTAAAGCTATAAGCAGGAATTGCCCTAATTTAGAGAGAGAGTAGAGAGAGAAAATTACTAGAAAATGTTAAAGCTTGAAATGAGGGGTAATCAGTGGCAATATGCATAATCGAGTATGAAATGTGGATTTGATAGCGATTAAGTGTTTAAATGCAATAATTGGCAGTTTTGGTCAATAGAAGAATTGACTTTGAATGCCAATTCTGTGTAGATTCTAATGTGTGATGCACAAATTATGAGAAAAGAACTTAAATAGGGTTAAAGTTACATGGGTAACACTTTCTGTTGAATATAAGGGTTCAGGTAACCATATAGTTTATTATGTTTATTAACTATTATAACTGTATAGAAATAAATACAAATTGAGAAATAGTGGCTTATGAGTTTTTATGCATGATGTGTATTGAAAATGCTTTTAGCATGAGCATTGGTTTGTGAAATGGTTTTTGAAAGGTTATCAATTTCAAATGATATATACATATATGTTATGACCTTATACATTGTGGAAATGTGAATGAGTAGTGTTTATTGTGAAAGAGCATGATTATAGGGGGGAGTTCACCCAAGATATGTGGGAGTGTGTGTGTGTATAGAGATATGTGACTGAAAAATCCATATGGTCAGGCTGGCACGATGGGACATTTGGTGCAATATATAGGCTGGTACTATGGATAATCCAGTACAGCATATTATGAGACTATTACCATGGGACATCCAAGCAGTCTAGCAACTCCCTAGTGCCCCTTAGGATACGGTTAGGAATCAACAACACCTCTATCACAAGTATGTGAAGAGGGAAGCCATGGTCTGTAGGTGAGTTAGATTATTCTTTAGCCAGGTGTTTCTATCATCAAAAGTGAGCTTAGGTCAATAAGTGATTGATCTAAGAGAGCCTATGGTTTCATGCCGGGGAGCTTTAGAGGATCGGTGGATAGTTGATAATGCTAAGGTGTAAAAGTGTTTGGAACATGATTTATATGCGAAAGTGATAATTGAGTTATGATGTACTATGTATATATGCTATAAGATGATTTCTATTACTTTGACATGGTTATTTATAGTAATAGACATTTAATGAACTATATTAGTTACTAAATTTTTATCTCACACGTGGTTATTTATATTTTTTAGGTTCTGGTACTAGCGGGTCAAAGGGAAAGGATATAAGCTGAGTTGACATCTCAGCTAAGTCCTTATAAGATATAGTGTAATGACTTGTAAGTTATTAGCCAAAAATATATATAAGTTGCCTTAGGACTTGAGCATGTGCATATTGTGGTAAATGTTGTGTTTCTGTGATTTTGAGCTCCTTAGCCCCTGTATATGTGTGAATGAGGAAATGACTGGATGGGCTAGTGGATGAATGTAATTGTGTGTGAATATGAGATGTGCGGAGAATATATGTGATGATTTGGCCATGTATGAGATAAAGAAATGAAAATATAATTTTGGCCTAAAGTATGAAATGGGCAATTTACAGGCCAAATATATGTATGTGTGTCACATTGTGTATATGTGTGGTCAATCAGGTATGTATTGTCTATTTGAACTTAGTTAAGCCCAAAAAGTGGCTAATAACAACTGGTTTCAAATTGAGAAATTTAAGTGACAAATTTTTGGCAAAAAATGGTCAAAATGCTAGTCTTTTTATGTCTTGAATTCATGTTTGAAAATATCGAAATATAATAGCATGCACTCGCGTGCCGCGACGCACGACACAGAGCGAGCGACTATGGCCTCTGTGCCACATGCCACGGCACACGGTGCAAAATAGCACTTTATTTTCTTGTATACACATATTTCTTTTGGTATTCAATACTAGAATACTTATTGCTTTCATTGGTAGATAGGGAGGTGCAGTGAAAGACTAAAATTTTAAAGTCTCTATCCTAATATGGACTGAACAAACTCATTTAAGTCAAGGTAGATAGATTCAAGAGTTTGGATCTCAGAAGCTAACAACGTAGATCTACTCTCTCTATCGGTATCCACACAAACAACTTTTTAACTCAAACAACATGCTAGTGCTCCCAGCGGCCGTTCCTTTTTGAATGTTAGTTTTTCTTTCTATAGGGTGTTTCATAACTCTCAAAGTGTTTTTGTTGTCAAAACTTTTCTAATTCTCTCCTCCTTCATAAAGGACATCCCTACCTATATATAGTAGATGGATTAGGGTTTTCATCTTCCACTTAAAAGCCTACGAAAATTTAATTAAATTTATCTCATAAATTTAATCTATAATATCACATCTAATTTAAATTATAAAACTGACAGGATATTCTCTCACATCATATTAGTTATTAAATTTAATCTATCATATAAAATTAAATTTAAAACTAACATAACATAATAAAATGTAATATAATATATATCACATATACATATGATATTATATATATGTATACACACACAAATATATATACATATATATTTAATTTTATATATCATATGCACGTACATATGCATATATCAGATATATATATTTTAAAATATATATATATATAACTATATTTTGAATTTTATATTTCATATAAATATAATATATATATATATATATAAAATTCATTCACCCAATATTACATTCATTGAATATAGAAATATTTTAGATTCAATGAACTTGAACATTATAGCTCGAGTTGGGCTGTTCTTGTGTGCGACTATGTAGGCCCATATAAAATTAGTAGTAGGCTAATTACGCTATTAGCTTATAAGTCACAAATGGCCTCTAGCAAGATATTGTAACTACCTAATTCATATGGAAATCAATGATCCAATGTAACATATCATGCAACCATATCACATTCCTATTATCACGTGATTTTCGATCAAGTGTGAGACATGAAATTGTCATTCTCCTTTACTTGATCGTTTTCTTCTCAATTTCTGAGTGGACTGACTGTAACAATGGAAAAATCTTTTCCATTATAGCTTGGCTATACATTTTCTCAATCTTACTCATCGAGGGGCCCAATAATATCTCTCACTTAATGTAAGGGACAAATTCCATCTTGACCACTCATGTTCCTATGCATGAATATCATTAAATTCAATCATAGCCTTTATGATCAGCTGATCAAAGATAACTTTTGACTAGGTCAAAATTCAGTGTTCATCATGTAGGAATCCATAATGATCTCAAGTCGAAGGGCTTAGTGATATAGTTACATATGAGATAAGCTTATGATTTGTATCATACAACTTTCTCATAGCGGGTCGGTCCAGTATCTTGTACTGTTTCAAATGCCTATGACTTTAATTTATATCTCTATAATTAATCAAAGTCATACTAGTCTTATTTCATCTATGATCCCTCATAGATGATTGACCAGGAACATTTAGGACAATTACTATAGTTTGTCTAAAGATACAGTTATCATAGTAAACATGCAACTAATATGATAACAAAAGAGAAATTCATTAAATAACAATGTGTATAATACAATGATTGGCCCTAGGGAACAATTTCCAACATCCACTGTATATGTATTTGTGTATGAGGTTTTATAACATGAGTGATTTATAAAATAATTTCTAAAAATCTTTTATTATGATATGAATATTTTAATATTTACAACTTAAATGATTTCAAAGTAATTAGATTAATGGTAGCGAAGTGTATGGTAATGTCAATGAGGGCATTACAGGGATGATGAAAAAATGCATAACAAAAATAAGGAAAAAAGAATTAATTTTGAAATATGAAATTGTCATGACTATCCTTATGCTTTCTTGAGATTTTTTCAATCATTTGTGATCATTTGATCATAAAAAATAGCCCATCCAAGGCTCCAATTTGGTGCAAGGGGGCTACCAACATCATCCAAGAGCTTCTCATGACCTAAAACACACAATAAACTTATTAAATAGTAAGTTGTGCACAAATAATTCTGTCTCATGAAGTAATCCAGCTTAGTTTTAAATTATGAAAATATGGTGAAGTGAATTAAAGTGATTAAATGGAAGATTAAGGGATGAATTTAGTTATAAGAAGTTTCATAAAAGTTCTTGATTATAAAAACTAAACCTAGTATACTTTTAAAGTTCATGAAAAGTACAATTAAAGTATAAAAAGTATGTACTTTAAAGGATGTTTTAGTGAATAATTCATATTCTAAAAAATAATATTTCACTTGTGATTTTATTTTATATAATATAATGATGGCTATTTTTATATTATTAAAAATGAAAAATACAACTTACCCAAAAGTCATTAAAAACTTTGAACTAATCGAGATAATAATTTTAAATTAGTAGTCTAATTGTGATTGAATTGAAATCAACTTAATCATAATTAAAAAATATAATTTAATTAAAATATATAAAATATTTATATATGACAATGATAAGAGTAATATTAAAATAGGTAAGACATTAATTTATAAATAAAAGAAACATTCATGAATAAATTATATATAATACAACAAAACAATAACAAAAATACTTAAGTACAAAGTTGATAAGTTCTTATTTTTTATTTTATTCTTTTAAAGTTAAAATAATATTTTATACTTAACAAAATTATTAAAAATTAAAATTAGTTCAAAAAATAAAAAATTATTTTAAAAAAGTTTCAAGTATTCAAGTTGGCTCGAATAAACCCAAAGATGTTAAAACCGAGTTTGACTGTATATACTTTTTAAAAAGGATAAGATACTTGAAACTCGATTCTAATAAGCCCGACTTGAATTGAGTTTGACCAAAATAAGCTCAACTAACTCGAATTATCGGCTTTAGGCATACTCAAGAGAGAGAGTTAGAAAAGTTCTGACAGCCAAACACTTTAAAAGCCACGAAACACCATAGAAAAATGAAAACCAACATTCACAGAGAACAAATGTTGGGAGCACTAGCATTTCATTCATGTTAGAGAGCTATTTGTGTGAATATTAATAGAGAGAGCAAATTTACATTGTCAACTCCTAAAATCTAGACTTATGAAAAGAATGCACGTAAAACACGAAAAAAAAAAAAGATAACTCCTTGTTTTACTTTGACTTAAACAAATTCGTTCGGTTTACATCAAGATAAAAATTTTAATATTTCTAATCTTTCACTGTGTCTCCCTATCCAACAACCACAAATTTCAATGAAGCCTTCGAGGTGGGTACAGGGATAGCCTTTATAAGAGGAGGAAGTGTAGGTTGATCCTGGGAATATATGATAGATCAATTCCAAGGACATGTAATAAAATCCTTAGCCTCCTCAGGGGTCTTCCTTTTCTTGCTCTTCCCCTTTCCATTATTATTATTGGACGACTTTAAAAACTTGTCAATAGATTACAAACACAATATTAGTGCTCAATTTAGATAGAAAGTACAAAGATGATAAATGTTTAATTAATATACCTTTTTCTTCGGTTGTGAAACTCGTAATAGATAATTAGTCCAGGCTACGAAGTTGCTCAGTTCTTCTTATAAAATTTTTGCATCGGTGTAGGCACAAGCATGTCATAATTCGATTCGTGCACAACCAATAGCTAAACCTTTCCATGATCAATACTACTTACAATTTTGTCAACAACCTCCTTCACATGGGAATCCCAAATGTTTCCCTGATTTTCTGTTCAAGCCAAAACCAAAAGCTTGCCACAAGATTTAAAACCATTTGATCCTTACCCCTTTTCCTCTCCTTGTTCATAACGTATAATAACTACCAAAACAAAAAATATTTCAACCTATGTGCGCGTGCACGCTAACATTGAGAAATAAATATTACCTTAAACTCTTCACTACTACAAGTTAAATAAAAAAAAAAAAAAGTAGTCCACTAATCTAGGTTAATCACAAAACTCAGGAGTAAGGGAATTTTTGGGTGACCCCTACTTTGAAATTGCAACAAGTTGTCTCAGTTTTTTATAGTACAAATTTCTTTTGACTCTCATCGTGCTCAAATTCCAACTGCAAAATTAATTAGGTTAAGGAGTAAGGGAATTTTTGGGTGACCCCTACTTTGAAATTGCAACAAGTTGTCTCAGTTTTTTATAGTACAAATTTCTTTTGACTCTCATCGTGCTCAAATTCCAACTGCAAAATTAATTAGGTTAATATAACAAATTCGTTGATATATAAAGCTGTAATAAAAAAATATCTTACCAATGACATATTCCAGATTATGTCCTTTAGTGACTCGGTATCTTTGCCCAATTTGCCATATTGAAGGGCACATTAGCTTTAAGCATCACTCTAATATAGCTCACCAAATTGTTGAGTTAATGCATTAACCCTTATCATTCCACTTAGTATAAAGTTTTCCCTTGACCTTTTGACCTCGGTACCTCCTCCATCACTACCTAAGTCCCTCCTCAATTCTTCTGCCTCTTCACCTCAATCCACCTGTTGTTGGGAATCAGTAGTAGTGGTCAGAATAAGATCACTCTGAGAGTTACTATAAAGAATATGATTATTACTTCTTGAATTTTTTTTTTTTTTTATGAGCCATCCTAAATAACTTAAACTTATCAAAATAAGTTTTTTCCAACACATACCTCATGTAGTCATATTTAATTTAAAATCTCGCTACTTCCTCATGTTTAGCCAAGGTAAAATCACTTTTTAAAAAATAAAAAAAAAAATCTGAAACAAACTAGCCCTAAATAAGATTTTCTTCTTCAAGTTCAGGTTCACTTCATACATATCAACAATCAATAACTTTTATACAATTGACAGCATAAATAAGCAGTAAAAACAAGAATAAAATACTGATCACCATTTTATTATGCTTTCATTACACAAACCTCCCCTTCTATCTTGAAAACTCATACAAACCTCTCTTAAAATTAAAATATGTTACATAAATTTTCTTTATATATTTAAAATTCCATTTCTATTCATCCAACTATTAATTGATCATTAAGTTTGACTTTTAAAATTTAAATTTAACCAAAAAAAAACCCTCTATAACATGAAAATTATCTAAAATTCCATATTCACCCACACAAAAAACTTGTATACAACTAAAAAAATATAATAAATACATTTTGAAATTTTTATTATTGTCAAATTTATTAATTTTTATCATATTATAAAATTTTATTTTCCATTAAATTTATTGTAACAAATTTATTTGTGTATTAAAATTGCTAAAAACATACAAACACATTTTTGTTCATCACATAACATAAAATAATATAAGTTCAAGAGATTATGCAAATAATTTACATTTAAAATTTGTAAACATGCTTTTTACAATGAAATTATTTAACTGTCAATAAAATATAATTTAGGATATATTAGGGTAAGGGATAAATTAGTAAATAAAAATTTTTTTAATATAAATTTTGACAGATTTTAGAATATTCTTAACAGCGTTAAAAGATTAAACTAAGTATGTTTTCCAAATAGAAAGGAGGTCTCGGTATTTAAGAGCAAATAGAAGGGTTGTGAGAGTATTTTACTATAAAAACAATATCATGTTTATATCAGAAGAAATATAATATAAAAAAAAATATTATAGACTAAACACGTTCTTCAAGACCATGTATTTCTATTATGAAATATAATATAAAAAATCAAAATTCTACAGTCTACAATTCAAACTTCAGTCATGTGCTCCTCCAGCTGGCAGTAAAGAGTATTACATGGCGCCATCATAAACTACATTTCATCTACAATCTATCTATTTATATATATAGAACTACAAATTTAATCCCGTTTCAATTTGCCTTGTATAGAACATACCAAAATAGCTGCCCCAGCATTCATAGCTGTTCCATCAACACCTAAATCCTTCAAAATAAAGCAAGCTGAAAAGAACCAAATAAATCCTACATCTTGACATGCAAATCATATTCACATCCATTCAAAAGACTTGCAAGTTATAAAGATCAGCAAAGTGCTTGGGTAAGAAGATGAAAGTTTTCTAGTGAGGGGCTTGACATTTTTTGTGGAAGCAATAAAGGATAAAAGAACTGTTAAAAAATCAACATCCACCAATTATGAACTATTCCAAATAGGAAAAGAAGAGTTTTTGACATATACCATTCCAAAATCTGTACCACAACCATCAATCTTTGTCAATTTGTTTCAGGAAAGATTCATTTGCTAGCCAATTCACATAATTGAACTAATACTCAACCAATTTATGATATCCGCAACATTTTTCAATCAAATTCTGCATAACATTAGGAAAGAGAGTCTAATAAAGAAAATTTATATCAAATCCCCAAGACATTAAAAAGGAAAGAAATAAAAGAAAAAGGCAATGAATATGAGATCTTCACGGTAAATGTCATCCATAAACAAAATAGAACAGATAACAAATGTTAGAAATATTCTAATAATTCAAGACCAACAAATATGTAAACCAAAGGAAAATATATATATATATATATTCTAATCAATAATAAAACGCATCACATTGAAAAGGAAGGAAGAAAAGTAACTTAAGGCAATGTGAATGACATCCTAATGATAAAGATTGTCCAGAAATAAATCAGAACAGAAGACAAAAACCATAAGAAATCATTTAGAAAATATCAATGAAGATATCTATTTTAACATGGAAGAGGGGCAGACAAAATGTTTGATCTTCTACCCAAATATAAAATCCCGAAACAGTGAAAAGGATTACTGAATATTCAAGAAGGGGAAGATAAAGAAAAAAAATTTATTTAAAAAAAAAGATAAAAGAAAAGAAATATGATAGAAGCAAAGTAAAAGAAATTTTTAACTTTCCAACATTCAAAATTGATGTTCTAGATCCCCTTGTTTTTTCCAACACCCAGCAGTTGCCACTCAAAAAAAGACATGAAGTTCAGCCTCCACGTACTGCCAAGCATCACATGCATGCAAGGGAAAGGGAAGAAGCTTGGACATACCACACTATGATACAGAAGAAGAAAGGAGAAGATTCAAACATACCCACTGGACCAATAAACCCCCCTTTTCCAGCCGAAGAAGAAAGGGAGGTTTGATGCAAAATACTCCCATGGCAAAAGCACAACAGACAGCAGTGAGAAAGGAGGCATGATTTCCAACAGTCACACAATGAAGGTTGAGTTTGACGACCTTGGGGTTCTAGAAATTGTTTCCTTTCCTTCCCTAAATATTCTTATTCAAATTGATGACTTAAAGGAGGAAAAAAAAACAAACAAACTTAAAAGTGAATCGTTTATATCACCACTGATTTAGGAAACCTTTTGATGGAGCAGACAAAGACGAGAGAGAAAGCCTACGGCATAGAAAGAGAGGTGAAAGAAAATTGAGTGTATTTAAAATTTTGGAATTTCAAACAAATAAAGAAGGGAGAAATTAAAAAGGAATACTTTTATTTTAAATTTAGAAACTTAAAAAATGGAGGGAAAGAAAAAGAAAGCAACACACAACCTAAGATGAAGCCAACACTGTTCATAGAGCCAAAAATGTGCCAGGGTGGAATAAATTTTATAGATATATTGATATTGATTCACAATGGCATTTGCCACCTTTCGAATCAAGAACCTTGAAAATTGCTAATCCATTACCACCTCACAAACTAGAGGACATATTAATTTTAATGCAGAATAACAAGGACAATACCATAAGAGATTCCCATTGGATTCCTACCTATGCTTGGCCATATGCATTTCATTTCCAGTTTCCAGCAATCACCAATAGTCTTTGCAAGAACAATATCCATCCTTGAAGTGATGAAATCTATTAGTATCCCTCAGAACAATCTCCCGTCCAGTTACTTTTGCTATTAATTTGATTGCAGAATGGCAATCACCACAAACCCGTAAATTTTTCATTACCCTGATCGGCATCCCTTGGGGCACTTTTAAAAGTCCATATGCTATGGCCAATTTTTCACTATGATAACCTAAGCTATGAGTTTTCTCTTCTTCATCCACATCATGAAGCACAAAGCTACCATCTGGAGAGTAGCCAGCTTCCATTATCAATCCACCTAACCTTTCCAACAATCTCATTATAGAGTGCTGCTCAGGATGGCCTTTGCTATCTCCCCTAGTGAACATATGCACCTTCTTCTCCACCTCAATCCAACTACAGCCAGGCGATTTGCTCACATTCATAGATCTTATTTTTTTCCTTAGCATTTCAACATCACCCCATCTTCCTCTAGAGGCATAGAGATTTGAAAGCAAGATATTAGGCCCAGAATTTTTAGGTTCAAGCTGTGCTAGTTTCTCTGCTGCAACTTTAGCCACATCAAAATCCATATGGATTCTGCATGCACCTAGCAACGCACCCCAAATAATAGCATCAGCTTCCATTGGCATGCTTTGTATTAGCTTCATTGCTTCATTTACCTTGCCTGCTCTGCCAAGTAAATCAACCATGCAAGCATAATGTTCTATTCCTACCTCCACTTGATATTTGTTTTTCATTGTTTCAAAGAATTCAAGCCCTTGTTTCACCTTTCCACTGTAACTACAAGCTGAAAGAACTCCAACAAAGGTTACATTATCTGGTGAAACTCCAGAGGAACACATTTCATGGAAAACATTTAAAGCTTCTTGTCCCAGGCCATGCTGAGCATAACCTGTGATCATAGAGTTCCACATGACAACATCCTTAAAAGTGAACATTTTGAAGACCTGGTTTGCTTTCACAAGATCACCACATTTGACATACATTGTAATCAAAACCGAGGCAACATATAAATCATGATCAAATTGGGACTTGACCAACTGAGCATGAACCTCTCTACCATAATCAAGACAAGCAAGACTAGCACAAACAGAAAGAACACTAATCAAAGAAGGGAAGTTCAACCCAACCCCTTCTCTTTGCATCCGTATAAACATGTCAAGGGCTTCCAGCTCAAATCCTTTTCGCTCATAAACCTTAATTATGGCACTCCATGTTCCATCATCCCTCTCCTCCATTTGCTCGAAAACCTGTCTAGCTTTGGCCATCTCCCCACTAAGACCAAAACCCATGATCATTTCATTACAAGCAACAATTGACTTTAATGGCATATCATCAAAAAGCTCTGAAGCCTCTTCCATCCGCCCACAATGAGTGTAACCCATTAGCATCGCTGTCCAAGACACCACATTTTTCTCAGGCATCACTTCAAAGAGCTTCCTAGCAATGTCCACTTGCTGATTACGAGCATACCCTGAAATCATTGTTGTCCAAGTAATGATATTCCTTTTTGGCATTTCATCAAATAGCTGGCGAGCTTCAGCCAAACAGCCTTGCTCACAATATCCTCCAATCATATTAGTCCTGGCCACAACATCTTTCACAGGCATGGCATCAAATAGCTTGCATGCATCCTCAAGTCGACCTTCTTGTAGAAGTCCACCCAACATTACTGTCCATGACACCACATTCTTTTCAGGCATTTTCCAGAAAAGTGATTCTGCCTCTGCAATCATACCCTGTTGCACATAGCCCCTAACCATTGCAGTCCACGAAACAACATTTCTCTCAGGCATCATATTAAATATTTTCCTTGCTTCATTAACCATCCCATTTTTTATGTATCCAGAAATCATACCATTCCAAGAAATTGTATTCCTCTCAGGCATCTTGTCAAATAGAAATTTGGCTTCATGAGGCTGATTGTTCTGTAAGTACCCAGAAATGATGGTATTCCAAGAAGCAATGCTTCTTTCACACATTTGATCAAACACCCTCCGAGCATTCTCAATTTGGCCAGTGCGGGAGTATCTTGCAATCAAGGAATTCAGTGAAATCGCTGCACCAGTGCAGTATAATCTGCAAGTGTCAAAGATCATGTGCATAGATGAACAACACAAGGTTGCTAGCACCAACTTCGTTGCTAATGAGTCATCAAATTCAGGTTTTAACTGGAAGAATTTGGCAGGATTATCCTTGTCAATACAGCAGAGCTGAAAGACACAATGCAGCTCCTGTCAAGCTAAGATTTTTTTTTTTTTTTTTTGGCAGTCAAGCTTAGGCTAAGAATCTGAAGAAGCTAAGGCTGTGAAGGAGGAAGCTAATTCCAAGTCACAAATAATGCTAGGAGGTCTATTGGTGTCATGACGGCAGTGCATCAAAACATTTGATATTCCTGCAGGCATAGAGTCAGATTCTCTCCATTAATATTGCCAGCCACTACACCTCCACTAGCCAAGAATGATAGTCTATTATAAAAACCACTTCTCCCAATTGCCCCACGCTCCCACTATCTTCAGTTCTTCAAGCAAACCAACCAAACACCTATGTTGAACCATCTAGACAAGTGTATAAAAAATGAAGAAAAAGTAATCATAATAACATATTATCTCAAGAGTAATAGCAGTGTAACAGAAATTTCTGTTTCAAATCAAGAACATTCAAGATAGGACCAAGTACATCATGCACTAAACCATCCAAGTAAGTCTAGCAAGTTTAAATAAAGACATCAGATTGAAAGATCACCAAGTAAAAAGACACTAACAACAACGTCAAAAAGTCCTAAATCAAAAGAAATAACAAGTGGTCATCAATCATAACACATTTGAACCTGCACATAAAAGGAAGCAATGCAAGGCAGTACTGAATAACAGTCCAGCAAGAAAATTCAATAAAACAAAGTCCTAGAAAAACTCCAAAAGCCCTAGATCTAATTCACCAAATCCAAGAAAGAAAACAAATATATATATATATATATATATATGCATAAACAAAATAAATCTAAGAAAAATGAAACAAGAGAGCCACCCACATAAATAAAGCTCCACTAAGCCTCAGTTCCCACTTAAATCCCACCATAAAAAGAATCACACTATCATGGAAATGAAATAAAACTGATGGTAACAAATTAGAAAGAACACCCTGACCAAGGGCTAACTTCCTCATCCAAAATGTAAACAGCTCAAATTTCAAAATGATATAACAGCGTCTCCGCGTGAGTCAATTTAAACCATCCTTTATCCTCCAAGTAAACCTTTCAAAGCAAAACATTCTTCTTCCAGCCTAGCCCCTAGCAGTAATCAACTTCACTTGAAAACTAATCATGAATCCTCAATTCAATCAAAACAACATATAGCTACTGCAAGATTCAACACTAGTTAGCAAATTATCCTCAATTTAAACCATAAGTAAGAACCAAACAGAATAGATTTTTTTCTCAAATTTTTCATTACCAGCTCAAAATAAATCAAATGCAAATCCAAAAAATCTTATTTCCAGCCTGATTTAGCATCCTAAGCCCACAGAACACAAAGCGTATTGCCCTAAATCAGCCATTCTAACTAAGAAGAGTTGCTTACTAAAACTTGAAGAGTCCAAGAGAAATACCTTAATCAGACGACACGGCCAGAGAAATCACGCTAGATTCAAGCAATTGAAAATAGTAACGCATACTAGCAATCGGAGACCGCAGAGAATAACCAGAGGGGAAAGAAGTGACGGCGAAAAAAGGAGGTGGGTCCTCTAGTTGAAGTTGACAGCAGTGAACCTCGGACGGAGAAGGAAAATGCGCTCGAGAAATCAAAAGGGACAGGAAAGAGAAGAACACGACAGCTTGAAGACACAAGGACAGGAGGTAAAGAGGAAGACTGAGTGGGAAAAACTGATGGCGAGGTGCCCCACGGCGATGGTGAAAACTGAAAGGGGCGGCGATGCATGTGCGCCAACCTTTTCGACCATGTTTGGATTAAAACATAGGTTAAAATCAACAAGGTTAGGGTTATGTTATCATCTGTACTTGGATTAGCTTGTTTGTGTCTCTTTTAATGCTTTGTTTTTCTTTTCTATTCAAAAAAATTAAATCAAATCAAATCGACAATGTTGGAAAACTAAAATTAAAAAAAAATATAATTTTAATATGATTTATATTTGAATAAATTTTTTTTAAGTCAATTAAATAAACTAAAATATATTTGAATGATTTAATTGAAAAGTCAATTAAGATCTATAATGACAAAAAAGACATGAATTTTACTCCCTCTATCTCAAATTATAAAAAAAAAATTAGAGAAATTTTGTTATCCCAAAATATAAAACAATTGAGACAAAGTTTCATAAATGATATTTTTTTTCAATATTATCTTTCAAGTGGAGAAAGAATTAAAATGATATTATAACTAATAATTAAATGTGTATGCACATTTTTGGAAGTTTGTAGTTTTGTATTGAAAAAGATAAGTTTATAAAGTATCATTATTGTGTTTTATTAGTATATGTAATATTGCCTCAAATTGTTTTATAATTTAAGACTTAGTATAACATCTTGAAATTCAATTCAGGAAACTAGTTGCTAATTAGAGATAAATTAGTAATTAGTGGATTAATTATGGTCTTAGATGTTGGATTGATATTTTGTATTGTTTGAATGCTATGAGGACAGGGTTGAGTAATAGCATTGTGATTCGGGATGAAATGCGCAAGCATAAGTGAGATTAACCATACACCACGGTTCTGCATGTGTTGTGACCCAATGCACGAAATTCACTTAAAATTGACGTGAATAACTCATGAAATTAGAAGGAAGAAGTGAGGAAAATGTACCAGGAGGGGTAAAGAAGCTTGGCTCTGTTAGGGCATCCAATATCTAGAGATCGAAAGTTTGCTTCGACCAGTGACTTGTCAGGCAAGTATCATATAGCGCTAAGTTACATTTCTACCCTATTTTCACTAAGTTTGATCAGTATAGAAATTAAATCAAAAAGTTTTAAGGAAATGGAATCTATAGAAAAGGTTTAAAAAGCGCTTTCAGGTTAAACTAAGGTTTTATAACTAGTCGGAAGTTTAATGGTTGAACCATAAGAATATAAGTTCAAATTAACCTAAAGAACTAAAGAACTAAGTTAAAAAGGGTAAATTGTTAAATATATGAGTTAGGAGGGTGTTTTAGTCATTTGAGTAGCTTATAGAGCTAATGACTATAGAGAATGGATTGTATAAACTCAAAGATGTTAATTGAGTTGTTTTGCTTAGCCAAATTAACACTTGTGTAAGTGTTGGAAATTGAGTAAGGGATGTTTGTTGTGTAGAGTGATCGTTCAGGGATTGCTCGTGGGAGTTGAACTAACTCAAAAAAGTTCAAATCGAACGATAACTCATGATAGTAAGATAAAAGGTAACTAGAGTAACTCTTTTATTTGTTAGTTTGTTTAATTATTTACAAGTGCTTTGTAACTGTATGCATTGTTATTTGTAAACTGATAAAGTAGCAATATTGTGAAAAGAATACGCATGCGGGTGTGTGAGTGATACATGTAATATATGAAAAGAGACACATACATAGACATGTACATTTGCATCCACGAGTATACCCTAGACTAGGGTAGGGGCTCGCAACCTTACTCTGTGTAAGGCTAGAAAATCCTGAAAGTCTTGAGAGTAGAGTTTACTTCACTAGGACGGACTTAGGAGATCTTGAAGGTCTTGAGCATGGAACTTGCCTCCGCCAGGAAGGACCTAGGAGAATGATCCATAAGTGTATTCTAAACTAGGGTAGGGGGTCGTGGTCTTACTCTGTGTAAAGCTAGGAAATCCTGATAGTCCAACCATTGAAAATGCTCTGCTAGGTAGGACTTAAGAGACCACCTATACTAATGATTCCCAAACTGAGACAGTGGTTTGGTGGGCCCTATTTTATGTAAGGTTGGAAGTCTTAGTTTAAGTGTAGAGCTTGCTCTGTTAGGGGGAATTGGGAGTGCATGAGCATGAGCATGATGAATAAACAAGTATGAATTTGTGTATATGCATATTATGTTGTCTTTTTTGAAATACATGCTACTTTTATCTCGTTTATTATTTTACTTACTAACTCTTATTTGAGGTTTATCTAAGTTACTATGACATATATCTCACTTTGTTACCTTTTGTACACAGGTGAAAATAGCACTAGGATGCATAAGTGTATGTAGATATAAATGTGATTAATATGATTTGTGGTCAAAAACTTTCTTGTGTATATAATACTGCATCTCATCAAGGGTACTACAATAGTAGATACGTGGATATGCCTAAATGCTATCGAAGCAAGTTAATATTATGTTGTATAACTTGTTTCACTTGTATCGAATGTGAATTGTTATGAAAATTATGTGTATTTGTGTGAACTTGACCTAAATGGTGAGACTTAGCCCCATTTTGTAGGAGCCAAGTATAGTTGTAATTCCTAATCGTATGGTAAGGTTTAGCCCCATATGTGAAAGTTGGATGTTTGATAATGAAACAAGTCTATGTATTTATATGATTGTATGTATTATGTCTCATATAAGCCACGAGTATATAATGTGGCATTGAGAGATCAAAATGACTATATGATGTGATATATGTGATTTGATGATTTAATCAAGTATATATGGTCCTTTTGGACTTAGTTCAAGGCCTGAAGTGGTCTAATTGGATAAGAAATGAGAATTAAACATTCAAAGTGCAAGTTTTGAAAGAAAAATAACTTTTTACACCTGAATGTCTAATTTTAGATCAAACTGTTAGATCGTGTTCAAACTTATCTCATTAGATAGAATATGTTATAAGCATCGTGTGTGCGCTTGAATTACTCCAATTAGACATCGAGTGTGAAAATGGCACGTGGCATAAGTTTGCCCTACAAACTATTTTTTGACAACAAAATTGCTATCATATGTACCGTGGCACATTGTATGCCATACTGCAACATGTGGCATAGGGGAAAGAGCCCATGGCTCTGCGCCACATGTCATGGCAAATAGTAGGGTGAGCCATAGCGCATGACACGTTTCCCAAATAATAGTTGTGCCTTCCCAACTCTTGAGGCATATGCTCATACTTCTATTAGCCCTCTCATTTGGACATGCTTTTAATGAAGTCAGGATCCTGCATTTTAAAAACGAATTGAGAGCTTTTACTCTAATGTTGTATTATGTTGTGTATAAATGTGATGGTGAAGTTTGGATTAAGTAGGGACTTTACACTTAGGGAGTATGATATATGTGTGTGTGTGTGTGTACATTTATGTGACACATTTGATATTTTTAGGAAAAATAATAAACTTTAAATGACAATTTTTTAAGTAGGTAAAATTTAAAAATTTAAAATAAATTCATTAAAATATTAATTTATAAAAGGAAAAAATGATAATAAAATTTCACCAAAATATACAAATGACAAGTAGGTCTTTCAAAATGTCATAATTCTTCTAAAGTCTATAGGTATTTTTTTAACAATAATGATTTTAAATTAAATAACTAAATTACCCCTTATTTCAAATAAAAATTTTTATTTTTTCAATCACAACTTTTGTTTAAGCAATCACAACTTTCATTCTATGTACCATAAAAATTGAATAAGAAATTATAACTTTGTACGTGAAATTTCTTTTATAATTGATATACAAGTTCTAAAAATAATCATTCTCAATCACAACTTTTATTTAAACAATTATAACTTTAATTATGTGAATCACAAAAATGGAACAAGAAAAAGACAACTTCCCACTTGAAATTTCTTTTATTATTAAAGTCTAAGTTCTAAAAAATCCAATCACAACTTTTGTTTGAGCAATTACAACTTTTATAATGTGAATTGTAAGAATTGAATAAGAAATCATAACTTTTCATGTGAAATTTTTTTTATAATTAACGTCCAAGTTCTAAAAATAACCAGTTACAACTTTTGTTTAAACAATTACAACTTTTATTATGTGAATCACAAGAATCAACTTATTATACAAATCTTGTAAAACGCAACAAACTGGTTAGCTGTTAGTGTTCCCTCATTGGACGACTAGAATTTTCTTCTCTCCTTATTGGTTGGATTCACTTATTCTATGGTCCATCTTGAACATAATGTATAATTTCTCTCTCTTTCTGTTTCTCTCTCCCCTTTATTGTTCAAGCATTGCCCTCCTTTGCAACTCTCTTTTTTTAAAAAAAAAACCTCAAAAACTTTGTCATTTATTGAGTTTTTGCTTATTCTTCTTTCATTTATTCAATCTCTTCCATTTGTGTCGAGTGCAGTTGGCTCTTCCCCAAGTACAGTTATCATTCCAGTATTCAATATCTCGTAAAAGGTTTGATTCATCCTTTCTTATGATTCTTCTTGCTATAATTCATATATTTTTTCTTCTTCCTCTGTTAATCATCTTTCATCTTTTTGTGATCTATTCTTGCTTGTAGTGCATATGATATCAATAAGGGAAAAACAAATGGCTTGCCTAGAAAGAAGGCTGTCTTTATACATATCACGAAGTTTTCTTTTTAAAGTAAGTTTGTTGTTTATCTTCTAGTTTTAAAATAGTCTTTTTAGCATGCAAAACTTTCCTACATTGCTCCCGAAATAATGAAAACAAGTCATTATATTTAGCTTAAACTAAATCAATATGCATGTGAAAGCTTCCTTCTAATCCTTTTTGTTGCTAGATAATATAATGTTCGCTTTGACATTATCAAGACAACACTCTAACAGCATTGTGATAACTAGGATTAATTAAAATCCCCAAAAATAAGGCATTACTACCGAAGGGTTTAAATAAATAGTTTAAAATCATGGGATCCCAAGAAAACCCTTTTTAACAGTCGTTTGAACTTAAATTATAGTTTAAAATAAATCATACTAGATAATGAATGTATGGAAATTAAAATAGCACTAAAAAACAATCAAAATAATCTAGAAATTGTCTATAAATTAGCCCATCCATTGTAACGCAAGCCTTACCTATCGAGGCGGATGGCATAAAGA